ATCATTATGAAAGAAGTAAAAAGCCATTTAAAGCACATATCGCTTGCAATTTTATATTTTGAGGTTCTTAAGTTAAGAAAAAACACATCTTTGAAAGCGTAACATTTAGCTTTTTAAACAAAAAAACACAACATAAAGACCCTCTTAAAATATTTGAAGGCAAATGTAATGCACAACATGCGGTTTTCCTTAATTTTCTGATGATAATATAAATTCAGAAAAATTAAGACCTCAACAATAAAGATTTTGTTGATATCTAGAGAAATGATGATGTATTTTAGTTTTGATAGCTCATGTACAATTGAGGAAATAGTGACACTTCTTTTCGGTGTATAAAAAGAGGAAATAGTAGCACTCAATTCGATAAAAGACATACTCAAGAGTTCTTAAACACCATCAATGCATTTAGGATCAGATACCGAACTATAAATTTTGATCAAAGGTTGGATTCCTATCATGGTAATGGTAGGTAACACATTGACCAATCTTCTAAATGATATAAATTGACTTGGTTTATTATTTATTACTCGAATGAGTAATTGTGTGTAGGAGGCGAATGTTATATATCCAACAAAAATATTGGTATTTTTTTACTCCGGATTATTTTTTGGTCTGATGATTAACAATAACCAAAGACAATCTATCCATGAAGTGGATATACATCTATCTATCAATAAAAGTCCATTTTATGTATGGTTAGATGTACACTACTGATGGATAGTGTACCCGGGAGTAGCTTATCCGAGGGGTTATTACGGGGAACAATAAGAGAGAAGTCAGAGCAAGTAAGTATAGAGAGAAAGTATATTGTAAAGTGTGGAGCGTTTTCAGCGTGGTTACAAATGGGGAAATGGGTGCTATTTATAGTAGCAATAAATGCCGGACAGGGACACGTGTCAAGCGTCCATTGGCCGAGAGGTCACCTCAACTGGTTGGCGCTGGCAACCGCATGTGGCCGCATTTAATGCGGCTGTTGGATGGGTCGTTGTACAGGGTACGGTGACCTGCACGCATGTGGCACGGATATCATGTCGGGAAAGGTGCCCTCGGTCGTAGAGGACTAACCGAGGGCTCTGAGTACTGGGGACCCTCTTGGTGCCGAGGGCTCCAGGTGCCGAGGGCTAGTGATTTTAGCCATTTTCCCCAGCCATCTTGTTTTCCTGTTTTGGCTCTCCTGTGGGAGTTAGAGCCCTCGATCAGGGGGCCGAAGGCACCCCTGGTGCGCATTGTGGGCTGCTTGGTACTCTGGGCACTGTGATTTGGGCCTGTTTGGGCCTTCTGGGCCTGTTGGGCCTTGATTGGGGTAGTAGGAGTCTGTGGGTCGGGGGTTCCCGGGCCATATACTCCATCAGGAGTCCCTCACTCCTTTTGCCGAAAGGTACTTGAGGGAGAAGGAGTAATTGTGTTAGTCCTCCGCCGTTGTTCCGTTTTGTAGTTTGTAGAGTTGTGGGTAGTTTGCTGTTTGTTTATTCTGCTGAGGGCAGTCCCTCAGTTACCCACATGTCGGGACTTGAGGGGTCATGTTTGTGATTTTTGTGATTTTTCCCGAGGGGGTCCTCCAGTCCCCCACTCCTTAAGGCACTTGCAAAGTGGTGAAAAGGAGTAAGGTAATTGCGTTGCTGTTGTGGGCCGAAGGCTGACGCTTTTCGTTTCATTTTGGGGGGATGCCTCGTTAAAAATCTCATTAGGAAAAACCCTGTGGGAAAAAATCCTAATGAGGGAAAAAGAGTGCACCGAATTCCCCCAACGATGAATCGAAAATGTGAAGCCTTAGCTTGGTTCCAAATGGAGAATAATGGTAATGCCGAAGGCTCTCCTTGTTCTGAGGGCTCATGTGTTGATTAGCCGGAGGCTTGTTGTTGATGTCCTGGGAGGTGCCGAAGGGGAGTCCCTCAATCTGTGGATCGAGGGCGTAATGAATGTGGGTAGCAGTCGAGTTGTTACCGGGGGGTCCCCTGTTTGTTGATTAGTTGGTGATGAGGATATCCGAGGGCTGCCATTACCTGTGTGCCGTAGGCTATCCGTCAATGAGGCATACTCCCCGGGGGCTACCCGGCCCTTACAGTGCTGAGGGGGGATCCCCGAGGGGTGGCCTGATATGAAGCCTTGGGCTTCTGAAGGAGTGATCCCGAAGGCGTCCGTTATGCACTGTGTGGGGCACAACCCGGGAGCGTCTCTGGGTAAGTGTACCCGGAGGCTTTCCCTGATGAAGTGGAGTGAAGTAAAAAACCCGGGGGCTCCCAGAATATAGCCGTGGGAAATATAGCCGTTGGAATATGTAACGTCAGGATATAGCCGTTGGGGGGGGGGGGGTTGCCACGTGGTGCGTGCTCGTTGGCTGCCCGTGGGCGGGCGTCACCGATTGGGTGAAACCTCGGTTGGTAATGATGGCAATCCAACCGGAGGCCCGGTTTCCAGGCCCAAGCCCGGATCCCAGCGCCTATAAATACCCCAAGGCCAGGGCCATTCTCCGCTGTGCGATTTCAGTGTAGCGAAGCTCTGGCAAAAATTTTCTAGAGAGAGAAACTTGCCTTCGGTTGATTCCTCAGTTCTCAAGGTTTGTGTTGGTGATGGTGTGTAAAGAAGTATTTCAAAATACGATTATCCCATTCTATTAAACTTCATGATGATAATTGAAAGAAACACTTTACATTGCACTATCATGTTTTTACATTGTCATGTATAATTTATTCTTGACTTCTTGCACTTATGTTTGTTTTTTACTTGCAACTCTTCATGTGGTCTATACTTTTTTGCCTTCATCTAGCATATATAATCAAAGTTCAAGTATATTTAGTGTACAACTCTATATTGTTTCTATAAAAAAATATCTACTTTACATAATACATACCATGAAAATAAATTTTAAACAAATTTTTATTTTATTCTAGACTAGATATGGCCCGTGCATCGCACGGGTATATTGTCTAGTTAAAATTTTAGAGTGAAGTTTGGTTTCTTGATAGCTCTATGAATAAGTCATTCACTCCACTCTATTAGCCAAACTAGTGACATCATTACCATTATTTTTTGTTTTGTCGATAACTCTGTCTCTAGGCACACCGTTTTTACATACTTTGTAGTTCATTTCTGTGTCGGTGCTAATTTTGCCATCCAAATATACCATTTCACTTCAGCAGTTCATCTTATATCCCAAATTCGTGGGATTGATTGTACTCCTTCTCGTGTATTAAATAGATACATTCATAATGATATCGCATCACATGCATTTGTTATCAATTAGTTCATTGTGTTATATACTCATTTATATTACTTCTCAAAATATACTCAAATTAAAATAAATAATTATTATTCAAAATATTATGCTACTTTAAAAGAGAACTTAAGGGTATGTTTGAGATTTGTGTTTGGAGGGGAGGGGAAGGGTTATGAGCAGCGGAGGACCAAGGGGGAGCCTGAGGGGCAAGTACTCCCGCTTCCGAATCTGAAATTTAGTAATACTACTTAAAATCGTGTCCCCCCCCCCCCCCCCCCCCTATCTAAACAAGAAATAACTATTAAGTATGATGATAGTTTCGTCTAAGAACATATGATAGTATAACATTTGAAGTGGGAAATATAAATGCTCACGGAGTTGTGATGGACCGATTCCTTGTAGTTAGACATGTTGCTAAGATGGTTACTACACTTGTTTTTAAAGTGACATTGATGATGTTTTGCTAAATATGAATAATGTTTGTCCAAAGTTAGAGATCAAAGATATGACAAAACTTCTCATATGTGGGATGAAGTTAATGGACTCAGGATTCTTATCTCAAGTAAAAATCATACATGACAAAATGTATGTTGTTGGACCGACAGACCCTTTGATTTTCGTACTGCAATATGATAAAAGTTCGATCTAAAAAACTATATTACTAAATAAAGTTGTATTCATGGATGAAATAGCAAACTTGAATCATACTTGGTTTTTTTTAAACAATATTATTATATCTGAAACAAGTATTAACAAATTTTGTGGTGCAACGTGCAACATTCGTTAGGGTCTTAGTTCAAAACTGTAATCTCGACCATCTTATATTATGAAAAATAACGAGAATTCTAATCCAAAACCAGAAAAGGTGCAAGGACGAGTCATTCTTAATCCAAATAATGTCTTTCTTTCAGAAAGCCAAAGATTATTGTTTAGAAATTGTTTATTGAGTTCATAACTAGACCTATAAACCATAGATGTATGACGCTTGAAATTGTCATTGAAATACTTTGTTTCTAATTAAAATTAATAATTTGAATGAACTAGACGGAACAGACCATAGATATACCCGCCCAACCCATCTATGCAGTAGTGCCCCCTGCTTGACAAAAGTTTTGGATTCACCACTAGTTATGAGGGGTTATGACCTCTCCTATCTTATTTGAGTGTTTAAAAAATTAGAAGCAATGGTTTTGGAGAGATTTTTTACCTTTCAAAACTTTTCAAATGCTCAATTTTGAAGTTCCTCAAATTTGGGAATTTTTAAAGATAAATATTTAAATATTAACTTTAATTTAATTTAAAATGAACTTAAAATTCAACTATTTAAATTCATCATATCTTTAAAGTGATTTTAATTATAATTTTTTTTCCTTAGCTCGTCTCTATTCAAATTTGCAAAGCCCAAATAAGAAGATGAGTTTACCCCCTTTCTCTCTCATCCCCTCATAGAACTTCCCTTCAAAGTCTTTCCATCTCTTTCCCTCTAAACTCCCGAACACACCCTAAAGCGAGACTGGATTAATAAAAATAAATTCACCTATTGTCACAATTGTGACTTTTTAGCACATTCCACAAATAAGAGCCTAAAATCCAAACTTACCACATATATTCCGAAGCTTTCAATTTCATTCACTCATATTGTGAGAGTAAATTGAATTTGTTAATTAGTTGTGTCAAAGTAAATTGTTATGAGCTTGGAAAACTTTATTTTATATACTCCACTCCGTCTTAAATTATTCCCTAAGCCACTATATGCCTGTCGGGCATTGATCCCATTTATTTATGCTGAACACTGACCGATTAAATACTCATCTTTCGAAAATTCGACAATGACGAAGGAAATTTTCGGCCATGAACATGCCCGTTTGTAAGTTCTTTGTTTCCTTTCCTCTCTTTAGAAACAACTATTTGATGTACACTTCTGTAATTGTATGCATATTTAAATATGCATACTTGTTTGGCGTCTCCTCCGAATTGCTCTAAAAGCTTCGTATGTGGACTTCTCCCGTTTAGGGAAGAGGTGAGGAAGGTTTTCGAGGTTTTGAAAGGAAAGAGAGCGAAAGGGTCGGAAACCCTTCATGTTTGGGAGTATCAACTCCCAAACTTATAAGGGAGGGTCATAAACCCTTATCAACTATCTTCTCCCTTCCAAAACCCAACTCCTCCGATTTTAAGCCATTCAATAATTAGTCATTCTTAACTTTTTGACGTTTCTTTAGTTAGGGATTCGTATAATTTGTCAATCCGTAGGAAAGTGGCAGTAAAAAGATGCACTTTTGGATTTATTGTATGCTACTACATTTTTTTTCATGTAGGGTATAAGTGTAAAGTGTCTGCGTGTGTATATGTATGTATGTACGTATGTATGATAACTTGGGAAATGGTTCAACAGAATTGTTTCAAAATTCCTTCTGGCTGATTTTATTAGAAAATCTAGTTTTAGTGCAAAACATTGAAATTTCACTTAAATATTGAACTAATCTGTTACCCTAATGACAATTATTGTAGTAGATGTTGAAAATTCGTTGGATCGATTATTTGTCAAATGTCAAGAAACACTTTAATCACTAATTATAAAACTTCATATTTCTTGAAGAATTTATTTGCAAGGTCGACTAGGGGGCCACTAGGTAAGGGTTGTTTAGGTGAAATGGTTACATGTAATGAAGGAAAAATGTTGAGTAACACCCGTTTCAATTCACTAGTAGAAAAAGCGTCTATAGTGACACTAATTTAGTGTCGCTGAAACTTTCAGCGACACTAAAAAAGCGTCGGGGAAAGTGGCGGCTAGCGACACTATATTTAGTGTCACTGATGCGGGGACGGTTTTGTGTCAGCAAATAGTGACACTAATTTATCGGCTAAAATAGCGACATTTATGCATCAAGAACACATTGTGACATTAATACATCATAGATTTTTATGACACTTTCAACATCATAGATTTTTATGACACTTTCAGTATCATAAATTTTTATGATACTTTCAGCATCATAGATTTTTATGACACTTCAATGTCACTTGGTTGGGTTTGTTAATTGGGCCTATATAGGCCTAGATAATATGCCCATGGTAGCTTTAGTAGAATTCAAATTTATTGCTTACTTCATTCATAAATATTATAACATCCAAAAATTAATGGATACCCAAAACACATCATTTAACATATAATATTCAGTAACAATTTCACATTCTTGTTCAATTACATTTCCTACCGCCGGATAAAAGATATAGAAAATTCCAACATGCAATATTCCCGCAAAAAACCGGCTATTGAAATTCAGCAAAAAAACTACTACCAAGCATCATTGAAGATGCTAAAATACAAACAAGTCACATTCCCAACATGTACCAATGTTTAGTTATCAAAAGTTTGACCTGTCTCTACATTCTACAAACATAACATAACACCGACCATTCTAACCGCCATCAACAATAATCAGAAATGCATCTCCCCGTGCATATCATCAAGCCTTTGTAGGATCCGCTTGCACACTACATATCAAACAAAATATAATATTACATCCATATATTATGAAACTTATTTTCGGTAAATTTTAAATGTGAACTTACTTTTTTATCAAAGTAGCAGCATACAAAGCCCACTCCTCACGCACTTGTAAAATATCATCTTCGGTATACTCCTTGACGGTAGAGAACTTCAATGTAAAATTAAATTAATTAGCACTTACTATCATTACAAGATACACTAATTAATTAATTGCACTCACATTCTGTTTCAAACGATTCACGTCAGATACAATATCCTTCATGTACTTCATCACAAAGTAACCACACTCAACTCCTCCTGTTTGCTTAGGGCATTGCATATATTCAATTTAAATAGACAGTAAATACAAACTAAGATTTACTAAAAACAAAGAACAAGTTATAGTAAAAAAATAATACAGTCAAGTATTGAATGGATTGCAATAATTCACTTCTTTAACTCACTTCTTTAAAACAAATTGCAATAACTCAATAGGAGTATGCTTCATGGATTGGCCTTTCCAAAGGTATTTTATTCTTTTTTATCTTTTGGACCAGATTCCCTTGGGAGGTTGAGCCATGATTTTTATGCAACTTGAGACTTGCAAGTAGGTATATGGAATGGCTATTACCCTATTTGCGCATGACATGTGAAACAGATAGATAACATCACCATTTGATCCAGATTTTTTCACTATAATATTATTATTCATAATCTGGAATCATTACTCACTCTCATTAATTCAGAAACTACCTTCTTCATATCCTGTGCATCTACCCTCTATCATTTACATTGATTTAATTAACTAACAAACTAATAATAATAGAATTATAAACAAATATTTTCTGGTCGGGACAGTTCATACTGATTAAAATTTGTAGCATACAAATCACAGCCGCTAATTTAAAAACTTGCAAATGATAAATATTGTTCCTAAGGATGGAGTATCTAAAATAAGAATAGAACTTGCAAAAGGGATGATCTGTCTTTCCATATTTCAAAAATGCAGTTCCAATTATGGACCTTACATGTAAGGTCAAAGGGATCTCACATGTATGGTAAAATGCTATTCATATGAACAATATAGAATTAAAAACAGCTCCTAAACACATTTAGTTTAAATAAAATTAATAGGTGTCACATCTAATTGCTAGCACAATTGAGATTCAGCGAAGTTTCACGGTTGCAACTTACAAGAGATGAGTATCTAAATTCAGAAAATAACTGAACAACCATGGTTCATAACAAAGACCCATTAATTTTAGTGAACTCCCTTTCCGTACTACAAAACACCAGTTCAGATTTCTGATCTTTAGTCAAAAGGATCTCATGTACAAATCACAGCCGCTAATTTATACTAAAAGTGATAATAAACATCAAAGGATACATACCATCACTCTCACCCATTTTAAATTCAACCTTTTCTTGGATTTTTGGGCATGATTAATCGTCACCCCTCTGAAAAGGAAACACAGTCATTATTAAAATTCAACTAATGCAATATTTTCTCATCATTTAAAGGGCCTATGTAACTTAACTGATTCATGATTTCCTCCAAATCCTTCGATGGAATTCCTCCCAAGGAATCTAGGTAGTAAATCATTTCAGCCGCCATGTCGATGACGACCAACACCCAATGATTCCTACATAACAATGAAACTATATGTAATTACAAAAGCACCATTGTTTGCAAATACAAGTCACTTGCAAAAGAGATTACTTACCCGGTATTATAGGGGATTAAAGTCATTTGTCCAAGCAAGGAAATATCCAAAAGATCAGCTATATATTGTGACCTCCTAGTAACCGCTTGGTGTGATGCCCTCTTTGGTATTGCTATGGCAGCAGAAGTACCAAACTAGATTGGCATATCCCCTCCATCAGCCTCCATTTTCTCATGTAAGTACCTATTAAGTTATTACTAATCAAGTTGAATTAAGTTCATTCATTTTGATGTTTATAATAAGATACTCTTACCGCTTTATACTGTAATACTATAATGATTTTAATGCAATTGAATGTAATATATAATAAATGGGAACTTATTACCTCGTCCAAATTTCAACAACTGAATTTGAAACCTGCTGAAAGTTGATAACAGAGCGGCAAACCTCCTTGTTAAACATAGTTTTTGTTTGGAATCCAAAAATTTCAGCATCTTGCTTGATGATGTTCATTTCTCCTAAACAATTTTCCACTAAAATGCAAAACATCATCATGTTAGCGCTTTGTTCCTTTCTTTTTTCAGCAACGGACCTGGTCATTCGTTGCACATTTAGCTTGGACTTAGCTTTCATTCCAGTCCTTATCTCTTTCACAAATACCACCTCGCACCCCTGTTTTTGTTTTCCCTCCACTCGGTCATTCTCCATATTTGCTATTGACTGATCTTCCTCTTCATTCATATCCTGTATGTAGCATAGAGTGTGCATGTAATTTACAAACATTACTATCGTATTTAATCAAATAAACATATGCAACTAGACGTCTAACCATATCATGGGAGTGAGCATTGGCTTGTCCTAAAGTATCCGTGTTTATGTGCTGAGGGGAATTTCTGGGAACACTTCCAAATAGCTTCTTCCGATGAGTAAATACTGGTTTCTCCACCTCTCCAACAGTCTATATCATAGAAGTTAACTATTTATTAATAACTATATCTCATTAAACATTCACTTAGAGATGTAGTTGTACATACCTTCTGCATTCCATGACTCTCACCCTCGGGTTGTTCATTATTACCCTCCATTTCAGCATGTTTCAACTTCAACCTGGGAGATTTTCTAGGAGCACTGCAGCGTTCCTTCAAAGGACCAAGTATCGACTGCTCAACGTCATCACCAGCCTTAAAATGAAAAATACATATTAAACATAAAAGCGTAAATAAGGTGCAAAATTATCCAGCAGAAGTTATGTGTGTACCTTTCTTTTCTGAGATTTATTGGCATTGCTGCAACTACCAATTTCACTAAAAGCATTGGACACATGATCTTTCATTTCACTAAACTTCTGCAACATCATTTCATACCTTCTATCACATACGTCTTGTACTTTGTCCTTCTCGGTTTTGGTTGCCTTTGGCGTGTAAAAGTATCGTGTTGGGGTAATGAAGTGCCCCAACCCCTGTACTCTACTGCCATTTGGTTTTTTCTGAAGAGCAACTGAGAGCACATCATTGTCTCCACGAGGCACAAATGATCCTTCCTTCACCTTATTTTTGAGCTCCTTCTACACAAACAAACATGTTACATCAGAGCATTACTAGAGCATTACCAAATTGTGTCAAACACCATTTTTTTATTCTAAAAAGAGCATAAAACGAGTCAATTAATTGACCTCAGTACACTGGGAAATTTTTTACTAAAAGATGCATGTTCATATTCATAAAATTATTACAACCCTTACTATTTCTTCTGCAACTTCCAAAACCTCAGGATCATATCCACCATCTTTTCTTTCTCTTCCCAAGAGCCATGTATCCGCTCGATCAATGTCGTTGACATTACTTCCAAGTTGTTCTTTCTTTGAGTTTTGAAAACAGAAAAGGTATATCATCTAAATACTCATATACACAATCGAATAATTTTAATAAAGGAAGATTAGAACAAACCTTCTTTAAAAGTAACCCTCCATAACCTGTTGAACCTAATCGGTGATTATATATATTCTTCTTTCGATTTTCACATGCTTTTTTGCTTTTTTCCTAAAAGCATTTAACAAAATTATTACATATATTCACAAATGTTTCTACTTATATTAAATGCATTAGTAAGTTCTATCACCTGGAATTCTTCTGTAAAGCACCTCTTCACAAATATTCTCCATTCATCAGTACCAATGTGCTTATATTCTTTTGGAGGTAAGCTTAACTTCTCGGGCTCATCCATGTGTTGTGCAATGAATTCAGTGTACAAAGTGCACCTAAAATTTTTATGTGCAGCTCCCATTGTTTGGAGTATATGTTTCTCTGAATTAGTAGGCAACACAAACAGATCCTACATCCAAAAGAACATTATATTATTGAATGAATAATAAAAAACTTAAAGACTACAAATAAACTGAAAGAACTCAACACTTAAAGACTAAAAAAGTAATTGACAAAGTTAATAGCAGCTCACATGCATATAGTTTCTTACCTGAATATGCGTCAACATATCATTTTTCAACTTAAGCGGGACTCTTCTCCAGTCATGGTACACTATGGGCACATGGTCCCTGACTATAACCCCAAGGTAATTAGACAGTTCCGTCCAGCCCTTACCTGCTAAAACACCAAGCTCATTAACTTCCACAATCACTTTATGATCACCACTTTTCTTCAACATCATCTTTTTCTTTCTCTTTTCTCGCCTACGTGGCCTCCCATCCAGTTCATCCATATCAACATTGTCCATGTCTTCATTTTGATTCTTCATATCAAACTGTATCCTACATAATAACAAGATTATACATACAAATAAAGTTATTTTCCTTTGAATTGAATTACAAATCACAAATAATACACAATTGAAGTAAAATAAACCAGAAAGTTATGTAAAAGTAATACTTACTGAAACGTAGCAATGAATTCATTCCAATTTTGACTAATTGGATTATTAATTCGCATCACAAAGTACTCTATCATAAATTCCATCATCATCTGGGGTTTCCAAATCAAGAATTTGTGTTGGGTAATGTGAAGTTAGGGGATCATGTATAACCATTTCATCACATCCAGCGTCTGCAACGTGACTAACCTTCTGACCAACTGAACAAACCACTGATTTTCTTGGATGAAGTTGATCTTTCACATTAAAAACTTGTTTGGCATGCGCGGCTAAAATGAAACAATCTTTTTTATGACCTATCTTATTTAGATCAAGTATTGTGAAGCCCAACTTATCTTCTTCTACATGCCTATTATCTACCCAGTCACACTTGAAAACCACCCTCTTAGTCATCAGATAGTGAAAGACCCAAATTTCAGTTAGAACGCCGTAGTAATTCAAGTCCGCTACAAGACTAACCCCACTATTTTGTGTAACACGGCTTAAATCCCACTCCTTTGTAGCAAAACTAAATCCATTTATATTGCAGCTCGAACATATGCTCCCTATTTTTTTAACAAAAAGAGTTAGATTATATAATATACACAAAATAGACAAAACCGAAATAAACAATGGAGTGCTTACTTTATGTACGGCTGAACTTCGGGCGTATTAAATAGAACAGTACGATGTGCTTGCTCAAGCAATGAACAATCAACTATTTTAGTGTCCCCGCGTCCTAGAGGCCTTTCAATTGGGTCATCATTATCAGAATGTGTAGGCAACCCAATCGATTCATGGTTGGAAATATACTCGGCACAAAATTCAAGAGCTTCCTCTACCACATAACATTCGGCAATACATCCCTCAGGATGGTAATGATTGCGGACGAACCCTTTTAAGAATTTCATGCTTCTCTCAAAAGGGTACATCCAACAGAGAAAAACTGGGCCACAAAGACGCACTTGAGCAACAAGATGGACTGTCAAATGAACCATTATATCAAAAAATGATGGCAAAAAATATTGCTCAAGACATCACATGGTGATGTGGTGACTGGACTCTAAATCATCAAGTGAATCAGGATCTAGGACCTTCTCACATAGTCTGTTGAAGAATAAGCACATACTAGTTATCGCATTGGTAACATTTTCTGCCACTGACATGTTCCGAATGGCCAAGGGAAGTATTTGTTGCATCAAGGTATGAAAACCATGAGATTTAAGACCTTGAAGGTGACTGTCATCATCAGAAACTATGCTTTTCAGGTTTGATGAATAACCACCAGACACTTTTATTTGCAGTATGGTTTCACAAAATTTTTGTTTGTCTTTTTTGCTCAGGGTGTAGGGTGCTGGAGGCAATGATTTGGAATTCTCTTTAGGAATTAAGTTTTTCCTAATGTTCAAATGAGCAAGGTCATCTCGAGCTCTAGGTCCATCTTTTGTTTTGCTCGATTGATCAAGAAGCGTTCCATAGATGCTCTCACACACATTCTTCTCTATGTGCATCGCATCTAATAGATGACGAACCAATAAATGCTTCCAATACTCTAGATAAAAAAAAATTAATTTGCGCTTGAACAATCTATTGTCTCCATCATTGTGATCACGCTTTCTCTTTCTTTTGCGGTCCTTGCGCTTCCCGCTTTTGTAATTTATTCCTTCAACCAACTTAAGAACATCTTCACCGGAGAGGGTTGCTGGAGGTCCCTCTCTCTCAACTTGATTATTGAAGACTTTCTTTAAATCTCTAAACCTGTGATTTTTCGGTAAAAAGCGACGATGGCTCATATAGACACATTTCTTACTACATTTCAGCCATATTGAACGAGTGCCCGACCCACAAACAGGACATCCAAAAGACCCCTTCACGGTGCTACCAGACAGATTACCATAAGCTGGGAAGTCACTTATGGTCCACATCAATATAGCTCTTAACCTGAAGGTCTCCTTTCTAAAACTATCGAAAACATCTACACCATCATCCACATGGTTTTAAGGTCATCAATCAGGGGTTCTAAATAGACATCTATATCATTCCCAGGAAGTTTAGGACCAGAAATTAAAAGAGATAACATCATGAATTTTCTTTTCATGGTCAACCAAGGGGGGAGATTATAAATGACTAACTGAACAGGCCAACAACTATACGAAGAACTAAGTGAACTGTGTGGATTTACTCCATCACTTGAAAGAGCTAACCTCAGATTCCTAGGATCTTGACTAAAATCAGGCCACATTTTATCAATGTGATGCCAAGCTTGAGCATCAGCAGGATGACGCAATTTACCATCTTTAATGCGATGGTCTGCATGCCATGTCATGTCTTCAGCAGTTTTAGTAGACTGGAACATACGTTTGAACCTAGGAATTGGAGGAAAGTACCACAATACTTTCTCAGGAATTCTACTAGTAGCTGTTATGGATCCATTCTTTGTCTCTTTCCACCTAGACTCTCCGCACGTAGGGCATTTTTCAAGATCACTGTGTTGCTTATGAAAGAGGATGCAATCATTGCGACAAGCATGTATCTTTTGGTAATCCAAACCTAACACCTTCATTATTTTTTTAGCTTCATACATTGACTTGGGAATGGTGTTATCGGTGGGTAGTAGACTCGAAAGAGCTTCTAATAAAGCTGAGAACCCTTGATCAGACCATCCATATTTTCCTTTTACATTATACAACAACAATAATCCTGAAAGCCTTGTATAACTTGAACCTGAGTATAATGGTTTCTCAGCATCTTCAACTATATCCTTAAACCTCTTTGGGTTACCATCTAGTTCTTCATAAACATCGCCTAACATGTCACCAATTTCATTTTGATCATGAAAATTTGATTGAGAGGGATTAAAGGTTGGAGTTTTTGCAGTCTCTCCATGCCTAGTCCAAACAAGGTACGTTTCCAAGAAACCAACTTTTAACAAATGTACTTTTATTTGTTCAGGCTTATGAAATTCCATGTTACAACAATTTCTACACGGACACCTAATTGATCTACGATTTTCTGAGTTGAGCATAGAAAATTGTAAGAACTCATCAACTCCATTTATGTATTCTTCAGACAACCTGTTTCCATCCTTTATCCAAGACCTATCCATCTCTCAATTCCTGATAATTATTAGATCCCAACAAAATATTTAACATACATGCTTAAATAACATATGCAAACACTTGGAAGAAATCGGGGGGAATACTTTAACCAAAGAACTTTGTTCAGTTTAATGTTATTACTTTCATATTTTCTACACATTTTAATATTAACCAAAGAACTTTAGTTAACAAAACTGAAAAAATATGTTTAGTAACTTTGTTTTAGTCTATTTAGTTAACGTATTGAGTACTCTCCTAGTTTAGATAACAAACTAAAAAGATTTGTATAAGAACTTTGTTTTGAACTCACTGATAAACTAATAATGCCTTGAAAGAATAGTAGATTTCATTTTCATTTACAACTTTGTTGGACCAATAAAGAATCAAATTGTAGCAGGGATAGAGCAAGTACTCACAAGAAAATGATAAAAACAGGTCCGCCTTTAGAACTTTGGAGGCCCTAGATGAAAAAAATAAGATCAATAAATTATGTTAATGTCATCCTATAACAAAAAATAAAATATATATAGATATTTAGTTTGGTCTTCTATATTTTTTAGTGAGAATCACAAATCAAACAAAATAACTAATTTGCTATGATCACCGAAAGATAGATAAATATTTATATTGGATGGGTCATTTCTTGTTGACTTAGCAGCTTCAGAAGCCGTGGCTGGAGTTCCACCTTCCATTTCAGACTGCAGTATATAAAAACATTTATCTGTTAAGCATATTAATTAACTTAAGTCTGACACATACTAACGGTAAACATGTAAACATGTTGTACATGTAAACATATTAAGCATATTAACTGTTAAGCATACTAACTTAAGCATATTAACTGTAAACAAGTTTAATATTAACTGTTAAGCATACTAACTTAAGCATATTAATTGTAAACAAGTTTAATATTAACAGTCAGTAATGTTGTACATGTAAACATATTAAGCATATTAACTCTTAAGCATACTAACATGTTTTACTTATTAACTGAAGTCTGAAACATACTAACTTAAGCATATTAACAGTAAACAAGTTTAATAAGCATATTAAGCATATTAACTGTTAAAGTGTTAAACTGTAAACAAGTTTAAGCATATTAACTGTTAAACTGTAAACAAGTTTATGTGTATAACTGTATAAGCATATTAAGCATATTAACCATAAACAAGTTTAATAAGCATATTAAGCATATTAAGCATATTAACTGTAAACAAGTTTAATAAGCATATTAACTATTTTTACTGTAAACAAGTTTATGTTTCAGCATGTGTAAGCATGTAAGAAGTACAGAATGTTTATGTAGAGTACATAATAAGAGTCTATTGTGTTCATGTTTTACATGTGTACATGCTGAAAGATGCTTAAAAATGTGTACTTCACTACTTCTTAAATGTGAAAAAGAGATAGAGAAACATGTTTTACATACTTCTTAAACACATGTTTACAGAATATGTGAGAAGAAAAAAAACATATTGGTAGTATGTAAAGAAGAAGTAGCCGTTAAAAAATGAAAAAATAAACAAAATGGAAGATGAAGGAGAAGAAAACT